TACGGACAACATTTCCCTGCATCAGCTACGCCTCTAAATCTCTGCAGGTGAAGCCCTGAGTAGTCTGGGTAAATATTTAAATCTATGACTGGATCTGTGTGAAGGAATAACCAGAAACCATTAGAGACACTGGGTTTGAAACACAACTGGGTTTTATTGGTAAATTTTACGTCATCACAGTTATAAAGGTTAACAAAGTGAGAGAGAGAGAGCTGGTGCACCAGTGAAGAGACATGCTGGGCTTATTGAACAAAATCCATGAACCAATTTTAAACAAACGATAAGAAAATATCTAAATATCTGGTTAAATGCTGCTAATTAAGAAGCCAGGTGAGAGGAAAACCTAAATGCAAATCAGAAATGTATAATTAACTAGTTGAAGATATTAAATCATTTCACAGTCTAGCCTATTTATATAGACATACAAAGAAAACCCAAACATATCAGGATGCCACATTAACTATTTCCTTGGGATCAGGCAGGGAGGGAGAATAAAAACTGTCCAAGCTCATATTTTTAAGCACCCAGGGCCTATTTTTTTAAACAATAAATAAAATCCATAGGCCTACGAAAGTGTATGTGTGCAGGTGGTGAAGATCTGCTGGGTGAGTCGAGGTGAGAAGATCTGTCTGTGCGCGGTGTCTCAGTGCGCTCTGTGCGCCTGGCAGCACAGTCTGTTCACTGCAGCGATTTCACACAGAAACTATATATTGAGAATTTACTGTTTTCGTGATTCCACTATCTGCCATTGCTGATTCCCGTGTCTGACTAATTTTGCGTGAGCGCATGAGAAAGGATGAGTGGAAACTCCATCCGTGCGTTTTTCCGCCAGAGGACTTATTGCTTTGATGTAGCACAAAAATAAATTATTAGGCTATTATTAATAAAGAATACAATTGTTTGTTTTTGAAAAATAAGAGTGACTGCTTGCATTAAAATTATATACACAAAACAACTAATAATTTACTTTCTGGGTTCAGACAAATGTTGAAAACAGTCGGTCTCGATTGTCGAAGGTGCAGTTCACCCCACAGCTCAAGCAGGTGTGGACCAGGGGAAATGCCATTTGCTCTGTGCAAAAAAATAACATGAATGCTTGTGAAACCGAAAGAAGAAACATGAGTTGGTGGCACTGATGCCTACATGCAGTCAACACGCTTACACGGAAGACCTAAGTGAACTGCGGATGTGTTTTACCGGGTCCACCTGAGAAACGCTGATATCCCCGCTAAAGTAAACCCGCCGGCGTCCTCCGACCAGGTCTGATTCATGGAAGGACAACGTCTGTCCAAGAGGCCGGCAAAGACACGCAGCGACCCAGAGATGTAGCCTGCGTTAGACTCTCCTTATTGGTAAGTGGAGAACGTCAACACACACACACACACACACACACACACACACACACACACACACAAAGATTACTTAACATATTTTTTGAAAAAGAAAAAGTATTGTATTTATTTGTATAGACCTGGTGATATATATCTACAGACTAATGTGTTGTGCATAAAGAAACCGGAAAGCACTTGAGGTGAGCTGCCGCCACGATGAAGGAAAGATAACGGAAAACGTTTGGTGAACAAAGCAGAGTGGTGTGGCCCAGGCTATTAAAGAAGAGATGCGTTTTAATTATGAAGTTCAGCTCACACTGTGTGCGCTACCAAATAAAAGAAAGTAGGCTATAACCTGCACACAAACAGAAATGTAAAATCAAGATCTTTGTGATTTTAGGGGGATTTAGGTTCTGTAGCCATTTTGAGGGGAACAACAGCAGGGTGTCATTTCGTTTTAAAGCAATCAGTCACAGTTTTTGCTGTTGTTTGTGGTAAGACCTTCCTCTTGCGTCTCATGTTTTTGTTCTTTGTCTTATTTCCTGTCTGTGTTCAAATCTGCATGTATCACAGCGCGAGAGAGACAAAGGCTGCTGCACTGAAGCAACACACACTGGGGGTGTTGGATTTTTAACCACATAGAAACTGTTGGATAATAGATGATAGTGGCCTCTACATGGCTCCTGGCAGCAGTTTCTGTAATAAAAGCAGACAGAAATGCTCCATGACTATCACGCCACATAAATGCATTTTACAAGTATAGAGGAGTAAACTGTAATTACGTAAAATAAATGTACCATTGTCATCAGGCTTGACATTATCTTTTTGCTCACCAGCCTCTGTTGCTAGTTGTTCTCCAAAGTTACTAGCCACACAGCATTTTCAGCCACATTTTTGTTGTTGGGAAATTATGTTTAATATGATTAAAGTTGACTATTGTGCTAAAATTTACTTGAACTAAATTTGTCCTTTTAAATGTAGATAAACACTGTACCCAAATCAAGAATACATAAATTGTATAACACTTCAGGTCATTGTAATTAGCTCTGATTAGGTTGTGTGTAAAGCGCCTTTTTTATGAAAACATCTCGGCCTAGTCTATGAAGATAAAGACAAAAAAAGTAGCTTCTTATTGCATATAATAAAAGTGGTGCATGGTTGTAGAAGGTTAATTGAATATAAAAACTAAACTGGAAAAAACTAGCATCAGAAACATTTTATTTATATACAACAGCAGTAAATACTGTAATACAGAAAATGATCTGCAAGCGAAACAAGGAGCAAAGATGAACAAATTCTTTTTGTCCAACTGACGGCTTACGGGTCTTTAGGTCGAAGGGACTGTGGTTTGATAACTTATATATTCTCATTTCACAAAAGTTTTGATGTCATATTTGGAGCGCGCACCCTCGCGCTGGGACACTGCAGCAAGAGGGTGAGACGCGCTTGACATGTGGATTCTCCTGCTTGATATTATAAAAAAAGCTTGCTGTATTATCGCTGGTCAAGTTGACACTTAACCGTAGGCCCTAAAGTGTCATTTTTACTTCTGCGTCGAACCACCTCCTCAAAAATGTAACTACACGTCAAGTCGACGTAGTCGATGTAATGTATTTGACCGTCAGAGCGAAATGACTTGTTTGATTCGGTTGATAACATTTGAAAAGGCTACATCAGCCGCACGTATACAATTTTACCCCCATTCACGTTAGCGGAGGGCTAACTGGAAGTTAGCCTGCTGGGCTGAGCTACGCCATAGGCTATGCGCGTAGCCAGGCATTTATACTTGTGCGTCAGTGTCTCCGTCATTCAGTTCAATTCAATTCAATTTTATTTATATAGCGCCAAATCACAACAACAGTTATCTCACAGCGCTTCTGCAATTACATCCCCAAACGCTAGTCGGCAGTAGCACTACAGCGTCCACTGTGTTGACTTTTGGCTTAGGCCCTATGCAGGAGTATAAATCAAGCTTAACAGCCCTCATGCCACTTGGGAATATTTCAGTGCTCCAGAACAATTCAGGAACAATTCAAAATATAAAGAATATAACAGAATATGATGCAATGATCAGTAGCTTGATTTTTAGCTTAAGTTACATTTTTTGGACAATGCAAATCTCAAAGCATTTTCATTTGTTAGTTAACATTTCTATTTTTCATAATACATTTATCAAATCCTTTTAAAAAGTGATGGGGAGAAAATCACCCACTTCAAAAGGTGGTGGGGACATGTCTCCAGCATCCCGGGTGTCTCACATCAGCTAGGAGGATGCAAGCACATGAGAAAAGTAGCTAGCCCTGCAAACACGTGGATCAGAAAACAAAAAGCAAACACACATCTACCAACTACAACCAACTTAAGCAGAGTTTAATCCGTCGAAACAACAGCTGTATAGATATAGAGTCCGACTTACATCATCTCTCACTGTTTACAGGCAACTCCCACAATGAAAAGAAACTCTGACACGTCATGTCTCCGGTATTTAAGCGTAGCTTGTGCAACTACGTACGTTACTGCCGTAATTGCCAACCATATTGTGATCCGCACCGTCTCTTTACATGAAGAACAACAGGAGGTTAAAAAGGAGAGAGAAATTATGAGGCCCCCTGGTGTCTATTATCCACTTTTGCTCAATGGTAAAAAAGTCTATGTTCACTGATTACCCTGGTTGTCTTCACCTCACCTGTGCACATGCAGTAAGTGGTTGTTCTCTTGTTGTAGGACTGTTTTCCAGTGTTTCTAACAGATGTCTCGTTTAATGCTCCGAGTCCCAGGATTATTTCTCTTGTGTCATGTGGATATATGCTGTCTTTTGTCTTGTCTTTGTATTTGCACCTGTTTTGTCTCTGGATTACCTAGCCTTTGTTTTTGGACTGTTCACCTGTTTTCACCTGGTTGTTTAATAAAAACTCATTAAACCTTACCTCCATCTTCAGTCCATTCTTACTCCCAAGTTGTCACATAGCCTACGGATGGTCAAGACCCCTTGCTGTCAGTTTGTAACACACTGGGGAGCCCTCTAGCATCATAGTTCAATGTGCTGGGCAAAGCAAATAGTCCAAGTAAGGAAGGTGGTTGGGGTGGATGAGTGGAACACAAGCCAGACTTTCACCAAGAGACTGGTGTTTGTTCCTGTGTGAAACAAAAAGTCAACGTTGAGGGTTTTGTCGTAGTTTTGTTCCTAAACCTAACCAAATTGCAATGTTTCAACAACATACCCTTTCACAACGTTAAACACTCATTTTCTTTTGAACGTCTAACCAGATGTTGCATATTTATTCTACCAATCTGACCGCGGAGCTCTACACGTTGAAACAAAATGCTGAACGTGTTCCCAGGGCGATAAAAAGTGACCAAACATCTAAATGTGACGGGTTGGACATTGTAATGATGAAACAAGTGTGTAATTGCTCTAACTTCTATTTGAAACAGAAAGGAACCAGCTTAAGTGAACTGGCTCAGCTTTGTGAAGACTGAAACCTGCTTGTTGGTGAGTGCAGCTTTCATTTTGAATAATTGAGCTGCTTCTTGAGCGTGCAAAGGTTTGAACCGGGAAAGTACGCACCAATGTTGAAATGTGTTTTAAAATCTAAAAAAACTTTTTTTCTTTTAAAAGGATTTTAATTTTCCTTTTGGGGTCTGGGACCAGATGAACACACAGCAGAAGAACATGTTTTAAAAGTTTCTATTTGAAATCAAGTCGAAAAAAGAAAAGATGGAACAAAAAAAGAGGAAAACTCCCTCTCCCTTCTCTGCAGGGTATAATGTAGACAGTTGTAAGAAGGCAGGTGACACAGCACAAGCCAAGAAGGAAGGGTTGAATGAGGATGGAAATGAATCATTAGACAAAAAAATTCAAACTTCCTTCTCAGAGAAACAGACTGCAGAAGAGAAGTGTTCAGAGAAGGATGAGCTGCCGAGCAAAAGTGTCCTCAGAAGGTATCATGAGGTTTCCGTAGGTTCTGCCTCTCCCTCCAGCTGCCGTAAATCTATAATACGTCCTTACGTCCGGCTTCCTCCTCATCACCTCAGACAACAGAACATCAGCTCTGCCCAGTCTGTACATGATACTGTCAGACATCAATCTCAACGGTCTCGTAAATCAACTGGCCCCTCATACAACCAGCTGTTCAACAGTCTGAGCCCTGTCTGCAGCAGCAAAACACAAGGTGAGGTGGGGAAAAACACAGATGAGCTTTTACCCACAACAACAGCCCATCATGACCCAGACATAGAACAATATGATACGAGTCTTCCATCTGAACCTTCACATGAAATGTTAGACAGCTCATATCTATGGAATGCCTCCATTTCAGCACCAAAACGTTCCCTGAGTGTCCGTGTTCATTACCTTCCCTACTTTTCCAATCCATCTATCCGCACTCCCTTCTCTGCTGAGTACACAGGTAGTTGTAAGAAGACAGGTGACGCCCAACAGACAGTGAAGGAAGAGTTGAATGAATACATAAATGAGCCATTCATACAGCATTTAGGAAGTCAAACTTCCATCTCCGATAAACCAACTGCAGAAAAGAAGTTTTCAGAGGAGGGTGTTTGGGATCAGCTGCCAAACAAACGTGTTCACAGTTTGCCTCGAATGTCTTCCTCAGCTTCTGCCTCTTCCTCCTGGAGTCTTCATGATGATAGCAGGCATATATCTGGGATAGTCAATCAAGATATTACCAGGGAATTGATACAAGCATATGGAAAAGCTCATTTTCTTTCAGCTCCATCACCAGTACCAGACCAGATATTGCAGCTTCCAAACAATAAAGACACAGAAGATGGTGGCCCCAGATTTAGTAACTCTAGTTTTACTGTAAGTCCACAAAACAGGCCTGCAGTCCTCCAGGAAGACGAGTTGGGAGATGACAGTGATGTCCTGGTGGAAACAGCTGTTCCAGCTGTGAACTGCTCAGTCACAAACACCCAGCCGACTCATCCTCCCCTCCAAACCTCCTCCAGCTGTTTGCGTCGTTCTCACAGCGTTCCCTCACTGAGTGTAACAACCTCCGCAAAGAACAAGACCTTCACCCGATCAAAGAGCTTACCTGACCTGCTGTTCAAACCCAGCTGTGAGGAGTTCACCCCTGATATCACTGTTGATGAAAACGATGAAACCTACAGGTTCCAGTGCTCCTGCCCAGGCCTGTACCAGTGCAGTGTGACAGGCCTGCTGTTCCACATGGAGGGAGAAGGGGACGTGGTTTACAGGATCGTCCCCTGGAACAGGAGGCTACTGGCCCGACACCACAAGCAGCCTGCAGGACCCCTGTTTGACATCAAATGTCTGCAGCAGTCTGTGTGTCGGCTTCATCTCCCACACTGTGAGATCCGCTCCACAGGTGGAGGTGAGTTCTTGTCAGTCGCTCATGTGAACGACGAGGGCATCGAGTTTATCGGCCCTCAGAAGATCACAGAAACTCACGTTGTTATAAACATCACAGGGTTTTCTGGTTTCGGTAATGTCAAGGATGAAGACTCGCCGGCTGAGCCGGTCCGAGCGCTGGTTCTGCTGTTCTACAGGCCCCCGGCTGATCCCGACGCTGAATCCCTCCTCAACGTGTTGCTGCTACCGAGGAACGTGGTGCTCCGGGATGTGCTGCGCACCAGGAAGAAATTAGTTGGAGATGAGAGCTACATAGAGACGTCCCCACACTGTAAACTGCAGCCAAAGCAGGAATACACACTGTCCACTTGTCCTGCAGAGGACTCAGTTCTAGTTCAACCAACAGAAGCAGAGTTTGACTGCGACAACTACGACAACTTCTTCCCATCATTCCAGGTGATTTTAGAAACAATGAGGAAACACGTGAAGCTGTTTCTGAGAGACACCAACAGCTCCCACAGTGTCTGGGAAAGACGAGTTTGTCTCACTGGAGTAAAAAGGTCCTGTGGGCCGAGCGCTCTGAATCTCTCTTCAGATAAGAGGCTGTTGGACATACGGAGCAGCTTCATCGAGGGGATATCAGGACCGGTTCTCACAAGTCTGCTGGACAAACTGTTTGAGAAAACGGTGATAGCTGAAGCTGAGAGGGAGTCAGCGGACGAGATGCAGAACAGAAGAGACAAAGCTGGTTTTGTTATCGACGCAGTGAGGAAGAAAGGTGAAGCTGCTAGTTCAGAGATGATTGAGTTCCTCTGTGAGGCCGACCCCTTCCTCTGTGAACATCTCGGGCTGATCTGAAGACAAATCAACAGGTGATGCAGAACATGTTGACCTGGTGGCCAGAACCTGATCATCCTGTAACTCCCACAAAATACTTTTAACTGGATCATTCACTGTTTTGATCTTGAGTAGTTTGCCTTGACTTATTGCTTGAAATGTTAAATTACAGTTTTCCAAGTAGGTTTTTTTATATTTGACAAAAATATGGGAACCTATTGTGAATCCATTGAATGTAAATTAATTTAGTTTGGTTTGTTGTAATTTCTAATGTAACATTTGTGGCCAATTGTTTCTATAAATGATTCTCTTCATCAACTGTACAATATTTTTTAAGAACCATAGATATAGAGTTTTTAAAAGTTGAATTTAAAAATAGTTTTTCTTACTTACTATATACAGTATCTTGACTGCAGCCCCATTTTTTATTATCTCTTATCACCTGATTCTGACATGACTCACACTGTATATTCGATTTTAGTACACTTTTGATGTTTGTTGTTTTTTTATTTAATTTTTTAACATCAAATTTTTTTTTTTTATTCTATTGCTTTCTGTAAGGTCCCAAAAAGGACAAAAAGAAGAATGTTTTTTACGTTTTTATGGTGTTATAAGGCTGATTGGGCTGGGCCAACACCTGTGTAGCTCTACTGTCAGAGCTTATTTAACCAGGACTGATCATTCTGTCGTTCTCTCCTCCTGGGCCGACGTCTCACTGGGTTTGTTCTGTGTCTTCCTTTTTGGTTTATCCTCACAACACTCACATACACATACATCTCATTCATCCGTTCACTGCTGACACAACTGATACTCATACTTTGTCACACCGCGTGTCTTTGATTATTTGACATTACTTTTATAATAAATCATATTATTGGCTTGCAAACTTACTTTTGTACTCTGACTCTGCAGTCGGGTCACATTTACTGCAGATGAGCTGTGGTGCAAGTGAAACAACAGTTTTTAATTTTTTTTTTAATTAAGTGAATAATTGAAGGCGAATAATTCCCCTCCTGGAGATCTATACTGTCTTATTATATCACACATTAATTTATCTTATCTTGTGTGTGTCAAAATAAATGTTTATTTGATGTTGTACCTTCATCAGCCAGCTGAATGAGCCATTTGCTTGTGAAGTTTCTTGGTGCGTTTGAGATGACTGCGTCTGACTTTCGCCAATTTGAGAGGTGACTGCAGGGGCGGGGTATAAAAACGGCGCCGTCAAGTCGGACGCATCCTACCTGCAGCAGCTTACTGTGAGCTGAGATCAATGACTGATCTTGCGGCATTTGCAAAGAATAATACCACGAGACCAGATAGCGTCATCACGTTTTGTGTGCGATGTCTTCTGGGACAAACCATATTTGGAAGTTAAACTTCCGTCAACTTCCGTCACATTCGTCTGCGGGCTGCATCTGGATATACTTGCCGGCGAGAGTCGAAGAATAAACTCTTTTCTTCCCACTGCTTCTGCCCCCTTTCCTTTCATCTGTCTTCAATTACTGTCTTAATTTTTGCTACTAGACATTTCTACACTGTAAACTGATAAACCATCATTGATTATGTCCCCCACCTTAAGGTTAAATCTGAATATAACTGTAGTGGTGACTTTCTGTATGTTACAGAATTTCTATTTAATGTTTGGAAAATTCTAAATAAACTCCTTATCGTTGTTTTTATTTTCAAATCATGTAAAATCTAGAGTAGGAGCAGGATGTACACTGTAAAAAATGATTCTGTGGTCATGTCGACAAGCAAATGACAACGCATTTGGGGTCATGCAGGGGCCCCTACCTAGCGGGGGCGTAGATCGGCTGTCCCCATGCAACCATGTTATCTTTCTTATGTGTAGATGAATATTATGGACATGTTGAGACATGTTGAGTTGACTGTGAAAATACTGAGATGGGTGTAACGGTCTTATGACTATGAGTCATTGAGAGAGAATGGTCAGCGAGAGGAAAGGAATGGCCAAACAAGGACATCTCTGGCCTAACTGAATTAAAGAATGAACAAGCTACAGACAGAAAGTCCTCCTTCCCTTCCCTTTCTCTCCAAAAAGAAGACATCAAAAATACTCAAGCTCAGCTATCACAATCAGGTTTTGAATTTTAGTGATTTTATCAGTTACTTAGGTTTTAAACTTAAACAGTCCTCACTTATACCTAACAGGGTAATACCCATAGGCCTAGAGGATCGACCCTTTACGACGGAGAGCTGGTCCAGTACCTCCTGAACAGGGGTAACTTGGGATCTACCACAGTACAAAACCCATAGGATTTCAGAGAAATCTCCATGAAACAAAGAAACGTTCATCTCTGACAAACTTTCAGATCGTCAGAGATGGCAAATCGTGATTGCAATTAACAGTGTGTTTAAATAAAAAAACTGTTGTGTTGTGTCATGGTTATTTCAAGAATGAAAAATTAAAAGATGAACAACAATACTAACATTTTTATATTTCAAGATTTTTATTCAGAAGTATTAGTTGTTCGGCTGTTTTGCGGCTGAGTCGGTTTCTTTTTTTACAAATGACATCCCCAGCCTTGGAAAAAATTTATTGACATGGAAGACTTGCTGCTGGCATGCATAAGTATTTTTTTGCCATCACATAAAGGTGCGGATACACAGCACGTCTCTCTTGCCAATACATCAAATCATCGTGCATCCTTGGAACAAAACCATCTGTCAAATATTTTTTTACTTGTACAGTGGCATCAGCAGTTGCACTGTGAAACGTGATGTGTCTCAGGTGTTTGACTTGATTTCCAAATGCCAGATTTTTAAATCATCCAGCTGTGTTGCCAGGGCCAACATCTGGAGTGCAGGCCATCCTTCAGGTAAGAGCCTATTATACACAACAGGAGCAAATGATGGCAAAATAATTAAATTAACTAACATAATATGACATTTTTGGTCAGAAGCATTGCGGTTATTGCAGCCTACCCAATTGACCCTTCACTAAGCCACGCCCCGAATACATAGCTGGCCAATCACAGCGCAGTATAGGACTCGCTCTAACTGAGGTCCGACACTTTCATGGCTGCGCTCCATTGACTCTAATGCAAAAAGAGTCGTTTTCTAGCTTCTTTTTGCTGTATTTTTCTAAGACATGCTCAAACACTGATCCTGGGGCATCTTGTAATAGTTACAGCAGCTACCCAGAGGGGTTGAAAGAAGAAGTACGATTTATTCTCTTTCCAAAACCTAAAATAAATCCAGAAAATGTCGGCTGTGGATTGTTCCTGATGTAATCTTAGTTAGCTAACGTTAGATAACTGCCTACTGAATGTAATGTAATAAAGCCCTGCTGTTCAATTCAATTCAATTAAATTTTATTTATATAGCGCCAAATCACAACAACAGTTATCTCACAGCGCTTTTCATAAAAGAGCAGGTCTAGACCGTACTCTGTGATGTTATTTACAGAAGCCAAACAATTCCCACCAAGAGCAAGCACTAGGCGACAGAGGCAAGGAAAAACTTCCTTTTAAGAGGCAGAAACCTCGAGCAGAACCATGGCTCAGGGTGGGCGACCATCTGCCTCGACCGGTTGGGGTGAAGGAGAGAGAGAGAGAGAGAGAGAGAGAGGAGAGGGAGAAAGAGAGGGAGAGGGAGAGGGAGAGGGAGAGAGACAGAAAGAGAAGGAGAGAGAGAAGGAGAGAGACAGAGAGAGAAGGAGAGAGAGAAGGAGAGAGAGAGGGGAGGGAGGCAGCCTACACAATATCCACACAGAGGTACAGACAGTAAAGGTGATGTTGCTATAGACTAAAGAGCAGGAACACGGGGCAGCAGGTGACCCGCAACCACAGATCCAGACTCCACAGTTCCAGAGCCAGAAAACCTGCAGGAAGTGATAGGAGGAGAGAGGAGAGAGACGAGAAAGCACAAGACTACCGGAAAGGGGAGAAGTTGTGTTAGTAACATGCAATAATGGGATGAGGTTGCATACTGTTCTGCTTTTTAATGATTATAATAATGAATAGAGGCTGACCTAGCTTTACAGGAACAGTGTGACTGTTCAGGTTGGCAAGCGCAGCACCCACTGGCTCACGCTGTTCATATAGGTTGTAGTGGCTATTTGTCCATAAACTTAAACAAAAACAAATAATAACAAACTTCTCAAATGGCCACTTGAGGCTACGTCATGGTTAGGCTTTACGCAGGTTCAGAGGTACCAAAGCAAGGTAATGTCCATAACAAGACTGAGTTTGAGGAGGTTTATTCACACACATAAGCAAGCTTACAGACATTTCTGCTGCCTCTCTCACGCTGGTAAAAAACCATATGCCCTCGTGCCTGCAGCACCTCCCACCTTGACCTACTTATGCAAATGAACATAACACCATGTGACCAACAAACGACAATACAAGTAAAGCATAAATACAAAATAAACCAAATTAACTTTAACAAGAAAAGAAATAAATTGGGCTATAAATTAACTCAAACCCAAAATAAACAAAAATAAGAATATAGCTCCAACATAGGTGTTGCAGCATGTCAAATGTGCTGTTCCACCTAGTGTCCACGTCTTGTGTGACTTTCAGTGCTGGTCTGCCCATCAATCCCTGCATCTCCACAAGTTTGTCTTTGGCTTTGCAGCTGGATTGGAATAATCCAACTACTTTCCTTGGCCTGTTGCGGATTTCATGAAGTACTGGTGTTTAATCAATGGCCCGCTTCACAATAAGATTTAGGGTGTGGGCAAAACATGGAACATGGCGTAGGTTCAGGAGCTGGGCACTTAAGACCATGTTTACTGCATTATCGGTCACAAGGCATTGAACCTTTGATGCCATTCCCCACTTAGACATGAGCACACTTTTCGCCTCCATTATATGCTGGGCTGTGTGGGACTGGTGGAACTTGGTGACTTCATCTTTGCTTCTTGGGTTATGTAATGGCAAGTAACTCCAAGGTACCCATCCATATGAATGGATGACCACATATCAGCCTTCTGTAGGTCAGGCTTGGCTTGCTCCTTGGCAGTGTTGAGCTTCTCACAGACCATTTCCTTCAGTGCCTTCCTAGAGGGAGGATGTAGTTGGGGTCCATCTTTCTGACGAAGGCCCAGAAGCCTTCATCCTCCAACAATAGTGAAGGGCTATAGATCCTTCACCACCAAATTCACCAAAGCCTCATCCAGCTCTCTCTGTCTGTCTTTAAAAGAACATAAACCTACTGTTTGATAAAACTATTGAAACTGAGCAAATCTAGCTTGAAATAGAGCCTAGTGCTTTAGATTATTAGGCCAAATATTTAGCTACACTGGTCATAAAAAGAGTCCACGCTTCTTACTGATGTCCACGTTCACATTTATTCTTCTCTGAAGTATCATGGAACACCGTGAAAACTAGAAGATAAACAAAACCGTTTCAAGCACAAGGCACCCCAAAACAACGTTTATATACACTTATTTCTTATACAGACCGATACAATGAGTCTCACATTTTCCTGTAAACAACATTAAACAGTGCTTAATAATTAACTCAATAATTAGTACCGTGTTCGCCATGTAGACCAGCTGTAGAATAACAGATGGGAGCTTAAAAGTTCGCTGTCCTCACCCGCCACTCTCTTTCTCTCTGGCGCTACTCTCAATACTTCCGGGTAACAGTCATGTGACTAGCAATAAAACCTTTCTCTTCTTCATAAATTTAACAAGAGCAATGTAAACACAGCTTTAAGTCACACTTTTACTCAGAATTACTTTAAACAAGTAAACACATATTATAATTGCATCGTCGTAAAGATCACAAAAGAGCGACTTCCTATCCAAATTCTATAATATGTATTACATAAAACTCTAACAACTATCGGGCCGTTACTGTTTGTTGCTTAGATGAACAGGTAGCCTTTAAAACATTTTGATTCAATACAAGTCCCGTTTAGCCACCAGTTGTAGCCTATTGTATTATTCAAATATTTAAAATCTTGTTGTTGTTGTGATTTGGACATTATATTGTAGAAGCATTACCAGGTCAACATTTTTAAAACTGAGGCATTTGTCAGTGAGATTTTAACACATCTGAATTATCTTTCAAACAATGCATACATTGTTTAGATGGCCCAGCAGCAGCAGGCCTGTGTACAGGGGGAATGTTGCCACCCTCTGCACCCTCTAAAATGGTAGGATGAATACACCTCAAATGGCGTATCATGGAGGATGTATGGTTTCAGTATGCAAGGTCCATCCATCCATCGTCAACTGCTTATCCTGTGTACAGGGTCGCGGGGGGCTGGAGCCTTTCCCAGCTGGCATCGGGCGAAAGGCGGGGTACACCCTGGACAGGTCGCCAGTCCATCGCAGGGCCACACATAGACAGACAACCACTCACACCTAAGGACAATTTTAGGGTCACCAATTAACCTAGCCTGCATGTCTTTGGATGGGAGAGGAAGCACCGGAGAGAACCCACGCGGACATCCTGCAAATTCCGCACAGAAAGGCCGGGCAACTGGGGTTTGAATCCACGACCTTCTTGCTGTGACCTTGCCCACTGCACCACCGTGCCGCCCGCAGTGGGCAAGGTGCCTATCACAAATCATACACCTCACTTTATTTGGGATTTCCAAATGGAATGTTCCCACACCAGAGAACGGCATCTCTTATGTGTAATCTACACTTATCTATCTACACACCTATCTAGTGCTAGCTATCTGTCTCTATCACCATCTCACTACATGTCACTAAATTATCCTAGCTATCACTATTAATATGTTACTCTATCTGTCTCTCAATAGCCTATCAATTATTATTAATTATACTAATATCTGCTGAACTATCTCTGAAATCGCACTGTCAATCACTGTGTATGTCGCTATCTCTCAATCTTTCTCCTCTCACAAAAACCCATGAAGTTGGGATGTGTTTGCTTGACTTTTAAGCATTCTGGGAGTTTCAAACATTGTGAATCATTGTGAAGCGGCAGGTGCGCCACCTGTCGAAACAGGGGTGAAACGCTCCGAAGCCTCGCTTCACCACTGTCACGTGACATTGACGTTTTGAACCACGCTTTGGAGCAGTGTTTCAAAACGTCGGGATCTCGACACAGCGTCGACACGTCAGAATCAAGCGTCCCATTTCCTACTATTTACACAACTCAATATTTTTGTTTAGGTTATAATTAATTATGTACTGTTTTCTATTTGAATCTACTCATATTAAATGGATAACTATTAAGGGTCTCATTTAATTAATATTACTCAAAACCAAACATTGTGAAATTTAATTAATAATTTGTTTGTAATCTGTTGCCTCATTTTTATTGAGTAGATATGTTGTATCTTTTCTTGCAGTGTATTTATGGTTGTAATGCTAATATCACATCCCTACACTAATTGGTTATCATTTTCCGTGAGTTCATCTTATAAAATGCAGGTCTGACTTTTTAAACTCTTAGTAATTGACGTGCTATATAAAACCCCAGCAAGCATGACATTTGTTCCAGGGCTTGGAAGCTTCTGCCCTTTTCTTTACATAAAAACTAATCCAATTTAAAAGAGATCGAAATTTTTAGTGTAAAACTCTTTGTGAAGGAGACGGGGGTTGGGCACTTGGGAGGCTGGAGGGAGCATGGGTAAATGGCTTTGTTTTTTAAAAAGAGGTAATGAATAAAATAGATAGTGAAAAGAAAAAACATGTGTGTGTTTTTTTTTCAAAATTAAAAATATAATTTCCTTAAAGTGAAATCATGGGATGCTGTCTGTGCATGTTTTGGAGGATGGTGTAGAGGGGGTGTCTCGGTGGCCCACTGTGCTTTATGGATTAACTGTTTCATTGCTGGGTTGTGAATTCTCTGGATGCATTTCTCTGTGATGTGTTTGTATTGAGGGAGTCTGTATGCCATTATTTTCGATCTGTAGTTTGTTCAGCTGATGGCGTGATGCTGTAGTCCAATCTGATGATGCATATTTAAAGATTGACGTGACAGATGACTGAAAACCCTGACATGTGACTTGTGTTCTCTGAGTACTTTTAGGTGATTGAGCCTTTGATTGCCTTCTTTGTTATTGATGTGGGTGGTGCATGTCATGTTTCTTTGGAAATGTTTCCTAAGAACTGGCTTAGGTGAGTTCTTATTCATGACCATCTGCCAGTAGTTATTTCAGCCCAAATGGGATGGCCCACACAGGCTTGCCGTTTTCTCTGCACATGCAGTTAAATACCTTGAATGCCTGTAAAACTCAAAGGGGAAGTCGACTATGCAAGAAGTGGCACTATTAACCCCCTAAATTCCAGCCCGTTCACACCAAAGCCCGTAGTTGGCTGTGATATGTGGCATTTAAGAGTCCAATCAAACAACAGTGATGGGAATATATTCGCGCAGAAGTCCGCCTGCGTCCTCCGACTAAGTTCAAATCCACGAGGGATACGGCTGAGCCTAAAACACAAAGACAACACAGCGACCCAGAGAGGCTCAGACATAAGCTACTGTCCTTGGTAAGCGGATAACGCTGACGCACACTAACCATACACAACTCAATGACACTCACACGACTGCCTTTGGAAATCAAGGAATCAAAAATCCCTTCTTCTTTTGAAAAGTGGCTGCAAAGTGTTATGTTGCCTATAACTGCATATTTATGCTGACTATGGATCGAGACTCCGTAGAAGCAGTGCAGCTTCGACGAGCTCCGTGAACGTGTCATACTCGGAGTTATGAGAGGAAGGAAGACTGGATTTGGTCGGAGACTTTGGACATAATGAAAACAGATTGCCCAGTTTTATTGTAGGCTACTTTGACAACATGCGTGCAGAAAGCAGAACTATAACCCTGACTGACTGATTACAAAAGAGAGATTGGCTAAGTGGGAAAGTACGGGTAACCCCCCCCCCCCCGCGCGCCATCGGAGTACCCTATTTGTTATTGTTGTTGAGGACATAATTTTTTCCATCCATGTCAATATATTTTACCACCATTTAGTACATATTTTTCCAGGAAGGACATGATGGTCAATTAGAAAATGTAGTTGCGGTTATAAATTACTGTCATAGATGCAGATATTGGACTTAAAGTCCAGATGGTAACAGCATGAAGGAGAAATGGCCCTCTTTACCTCTATAGCTTGTTTGTAACCTGTATGTGCGTGCATGTGAAGGTTTCACTCAGTTTATGGAGGATAATAGGGCTTATTTAGAGCAGTTCTGGCTCTGGGAAGAAGATATTTCCCAGTCTCGAAGGTCTGTATAAACTTGTGTCGGGCTGAGGCAGATTACCTTCTAGAACTTCACTGGTTCAAATCTGAATAGATTTTTATTATGTAAGCTTGAAAGTCAGAGGTGTCTCTCTGGAGCAACTAGGGTTAAGTGTCTTGCTCAGGAATCAAACTATAGTCTCCCACACTAAAGGCATGTGTCTTATCCACTGCACCATTGCCACCCCAGAATGGTGAACATCATTCAGCATGACTGCTTTGGCTGAGGGTCAGTGATGGTCTGGGGAGACAAATCCTTCGCACAGGGGTCAGTACCGGGATGAAAACTGCTGTTAGGTACCGGGATGAAAATCTCAGAGCCGTTGTCGGACCTTACACTGGTGGACTTTGCCAAAAAAGATTTTGAACTTACAACTATTTTGTTCATTGAGATTAGATGTGTAATTTAAGTGTTGCCTTAAATAATTTGAGCAGTGTAGTACCAAAATAATGACACACACACATCTTACAGTTATGTATGAGGATCATTGCACAATTGTGTTTTAATACAGCACTATACTTTAAAAGGATTTGAATTTCCATTCTCTGCTTTATTTCAGGGTCGTGGGCCAGGTCAAATACAAGATGGAACAAAGAAAGAGAAAAGCTCCATCTCCCTTCTCTGCTGGTTCTGATGCAGGAAGTTGTGAAATGACAGGTGACTCACCACAGGAGGAAAAGGAAGAAGGTTGTGCTTCAGAGAATTCTTGTAAAGAGACTGATGCCCCCCTTTATTGTATTGCTGCTGCAGCATGTACAAAGTCATGGACCACAGAGCCACAAAGCGAGCCCTTAGATCTTTCTCTTGCTGGCCCTCGATGTGCTGAAAACACCAGTGAGGTTCGTAAGAGAGCTACAGGTGTTGTGCCGATGCAGCCAGATAGTGAGCCTGAAGAAGAACCCTGTGGAGGAATCAGGTCACATGAAATTACAGCTTTGCTTGCCGGGGACTCTTCTCATTTCCCGCCCCCACTAAGTCTAATGAGCTCTACCGAGAACAACTTTACAGGAGCTGAAAGTTTATCTGGGGGTAGCTGTGCGATGTTAGAATTGCCTGGGAAGTTATTACGTGATATCCCTGTTGTTACACTCCCAGAAACAGGACTGATAAAAAACTCCTCTGCAGCAGATTCTATGCCGGGAGTCAGTCAGGATAATACCAGGGAAATAATACCACATGCAACCGCTGGTCCTTCCAGCCTTCAGCTCTCTAACAACGATGATGAAGATTCAGACACAGACAGAGTTGTATTTTATAGTAGAAAACAACAATGTGATGAGTCGTCTGGTAGCACAGATTCTTTCACATTTATACATACACCTATAGCAATTTACAGCGAATTGGAAAATGAGTATGGAGATGCTCATTTTCTTCGTCTTGCATCCCAAGCATCAGAACAGATTTTGCAGCTTCCAAACAATAAAGACACAGATGATAGTGGCCCCAGATTTAGTAACTCCAGTTTTACTGTACGTCCACAAAACAGACCTTCAGTCATCAAGAAAAACAAGTTGGGAGATGACAGTGTTGTTCTGGAGGAAATGGCATCCTCCTCAGCTTCTGCCTCTCGCTTCCGGAGTCTTCATGATGATGACAGCAGGCGTGAATCTAGGAAAGTTACTATACCCCTGCTTCCTCCTCTTCCTCTTCCTCCCCCTAACACACAGGACACAAGCTCAAAGGTCATCTGACATGTTAACAAACAGCTATGAGGAGTCTAAAGCTTTTGACACCTCTGCAGCAGCTGCTATGCCGGGAGTCAATCAAGATAATACCAGCGAATTAGAACATCAGTATGGAGAAGCTCTTCCATCACTACTATCACACCATCTTGGAAAGAGAAAATACACAGTGTTGGCCCCAGATTTAGTAACTCTAGTTTTACTGTATGTCCACAAAACAGGCCTTCAGTCTGTCAGTCATCTGTTCCAGCTGTGAACTGCTCAGTCACAAACACCCAGCCGACCATCCTGACCCCCAAACCTCCTCCTCCTCAGATCCTGTTCAGAGTGAAAGAAGCTCCAGCTGTTCGCCTCTTTTCTCAGTGTTCCCTCACTGAGTCAAACAACCTCTGCAAAGACCTTCACCCAATCACAGAGCTTACCTGACATGCTGTTCAAACCCAGCTGTGATGAGTATGACACAGGTAGTTTTAAGAAGACAGGTGACGCACAACAGACGGAGAAGGAAGAGTTGAATGTAGGCAGAATTGATCTATCGGGATTCACACGGCGTCTAAGAAGTCAAACTTCCACCTCAGAAAAACAGACTGCAGATGAAAAGTTTTCAGAGGAGGGTGTTAGGCGTCACATGCAAGTCAAACGTGGCCGCCGTTCACTTCGTAAATATTCCTCAGCTTCTGCCTCTCACTCCTGGAGTCTTCATGATGATGACAGCAGGCGTGCAATCTAGGAAAGTTACTACACCCTGCTTCCTCCTCCTCCTCTTCCTCTCCCCCTAACACACAGGACACAAGCTCAAAGGTCATCTGACATGTTAACAAACAGCTATGAGGAGTCTAAAGCTTTTCACACCTCTGCAGCAGCTGCTATGCCGGGAGTCAATCAAGATAATACCAGCGAATTAGAACATCAGTATGGAGAAGCTCTTCCATCACTACTATCACACATCTTGGAAAGAGAAAATACACAGAAGATTGTGGCCCCAGATTTAGTAACTCTAGTTTTACTGTATGTCCACAAAACAGGCATGCAGTCCTCAGGAAGACGTGTTGGGAGACGTGTTGGGAGACGTGTTGGGAGATGACAGTGATGTCCTGGTGGAAACAGAGCCATCTGTTCCAGCTGTGAACTGCTCAGTCACAAACACCCAGCCGACTCATCCTCCCCTCCAAACCTCCTCCAGCTGTTTGCGTCGTTCTCACAGCGTTCCCTCACTGAGTCTAACAACCTCTGCAAAGAACAAGACCTTCACCCGATCAAAGAGCTTACCTGACATGCTGTTCAAACCCAGCTGTGAGGAGTTCACCCCTGATATCACTGTTGATGAAAACGATGAAACCTACAGGTTCCAGTGCTCCTGCCCAGGCCTGTACCAGTGCAGTGTGACAGGCCTGCTGTTCCACATGGAGGGAGAAGGGGACGTGGTTTACAGGATCGTCCCCTGGAACAGGAGGCTACTGGCCCGACACCACAAGCAGCCTGCAGGACCCCTGTTTGACATCAAATGTCTGCAGCAGTCTGTGTGTCGGCTTCATCTCCCACACTGTGAGATCCGCTCCACAGGTGGAGGTGAGTTCTTGTCAGTCGCTCATGTGAACGACGAGGGCATCGAGTTTATCGGCCCTCAGAAGATCACAGAAACTCACGTTGTTATAAACATCACAGGGTTTTCTGGTTTCGGTAATGTCAAGGATGAAGACTCGCCGGCTGAGCCGGTCCGAGCGCTGGTTCTGCTGTTCTACAGGCCCCCGGCTGATCCCGACGCTGAATCCCTCCTCAACGTGTTGCTGCTACCGAGGAACGTGGTGCTCCGGGATGTGCTGCGCACCAGGAAGAAATTAGTTGGAGATGAGAGCTACATAGAGACGTCCCCACACTGTAAACTGCAGCCAAAGCAGGAATACACACTGTCCACTTGTCCTGCAGAGGACTCAGTTCTAGTTCAACCAACAGAAGCAGAGTTTGACTGCGACAACTACGACAACTACTTCCCATCATTCCAGGTGATTTTAGAAACAATGAGGAAACACGTGAAGCTGTTTCTGAGAGACACCAACAGCTCCCACAGTGTCTGGGAAAGACGAGTTTGTCTCACTGGAGTAAAAAGGTCCTGTGGGCCGAGCGCTCTGAATCTCTCTTCAGATAAGAGGCTGTTGGACATACGGAGCAGCTTCATCGATAGGATATCAGGACCGGTTCTCACAAGTCTGCTGGACAAACTGTTTGAGAAAACGGTGATAGCCGAAGCTGAGAGGGAGTCAGCGGACGAGATGCAGAACAGAAGAGACAAAGCTCGTTTTGTTATCGACTCAGTGAGGAAGAAAGGTGAAGCTGCTAGTTCAGAGATGATTGAGTTCCTCTGTGAGGCCGACCCCTTCCTCTGTGAACATCTCGGCTTGATCTGAAGGCAAATCAACAGGTGATGCAGAACATGTAACTGTAACTCCCACAAAATACTTTTAACTGGATCAGTCACTGTTTTGATCTTTGTCACCTGGTTCTTACAGATCACTGATACTTTATATTTTAGTACACTTTTGATGTTTGTTGTTATGTTATTCCATTTACATTTTGTATTTTATTGTATTGCTTTCTGTAAGGTGCCAACAAGAACGACAACAAAGAATGGTTATTGTAAGGTACATCTGTTTGCAGGTAGCCGTTTATTTACGTGTTACTTCTTGTCAATAGTATCAACAACACTCTGAGTCTGCAGTCGAGTCAGATTAAGTCCAGATTGTTGAAGAATTATTGTGAGCCAGGTTCAGGTGTGATGAAGAAGTTTCGGACACTGATGAAGACTAAACATAGCACGGTTTATTGAGCCCGGCCGTTGTTTCTGTCTTCCTCTCAAACAAGGACTGTTAACATGAGAGAAATAACTAGAGCTGGAAATTCAGTGAACACTTGTGGGGTCAGCTAATGACTGTAAAGTTAGACCTGTCTTATTTTTCCCTGTTACATCAATTAAACCCCGTAAGAATATTCTTTAACACAAATGACCTCATGTGGTTGAAGTGAAACAGTTGTTTTCTGCTTAGTATTAAGTTAATAATAAAAGGCGCATAATTTTCCTTTTCTTTTACTGATCCTTATTATATCACACCTTAAATGATCTTATCTTGGCATCTCCAAGCAGTTTCATTGATGTTGTACCTTCATCAGACAGCAGATGGAGCCATTTGCTTGTTAATGGTCAGAGTGAGTTCTTGAAACTTGATGTGAGGTTTAAAAGACTACACTGACAAATGAGCCATTGAAAGGAACCATCATAAAATTAATTTATATATATTTTATACTGTGCCAGAGGAGGCACAGAACACAAAATCATGGTATTGCTGTAAACTGTGTTTGAATTTTATAGGAGTATTTGAGAAGTAGGTCTGTTTGATCTCCATACAGACTGTATAATGCGAGTAGAGCATGTGGGCTTATCGCAGATATTTTGGTATCGGTATATATGTTTGTCAGTAAGTAGTACGACTTATAGTAGGAAATTAGAAAAACATTTAGGGACAGGTGTTTCATTACATAGTCTATTGTTGTCTAAAATGAACTGATCAGTACATATATTGGTCATGCCATCTATTTATTGTTGCTATATCACTTGTAATTAAACTTCTCAAATGTTGATAATGGTAATGGCCTTAATAGTCTAATATTTGGAGAGGTATAAGGTTGAGATTTCATTTATTTTTATGGCTTAAAGTCTATTGTAAAAAGCATTTTCTGAATCAGGTCTCTTCTCTCCGCTTCCTATCTTTGACAACCGGTCCTTTTACATGTTGTAAAGTAAATTTTTTTGTCTGCTAAAGTCACATCCTTCTGTATTGTCTTCCTATTTTAACTGTTGTGCTATTAATTGTATGAATTGAATTCTGTCTGTGCTAATTCTATGAAAATAACCTGCCTGCTTGTTAAATTTCTGTATCTCAAAGTGGTTGGTGATGAACTGAACAAACTATTGCTATCAAATGTCTCTTCTGTACATTGTGGTGCTAAAGACATTTCTGTAAACTGATAAACCATCTCTGATTATTTCCCCCTCCCTAAGGTTATAATTATAGGAATACAACTAGTGTTAACTTTCTCTATGTTATTAAATTTCTGTTTATTGTTAAAAACTCCTAATCTTTGTTTTTCTTTTCAATTCATGTAAAATCTACAGCGGGATCAGGAAGTATTCATGGCTGTAGTGCTAATATTACACAGCCTGACTTATTGGTTCAGACACATCTTGAAAACGCAGGTCTCACTTCTCTTGAGGCCTATATTTAAAAAAACAATTCATGCAGGAGGCTGGGTCCAGATTTGCCATGCATGGTCCTATATCTCTCTCTTATCTCTTTTAAATTAATGCTGATGGATCTGACTGTATATCTCAACCTTAAAAAAACAAATCATACTGTAATGTAGGCATGTGGTTCATTTACATTGTAATAATATTTCTTAACAAATAGACAGCTTATGAAATCCAAAGTGATCAATCAGAAAATGAGTACGTTTCTCGAGCTGCCACCGTTTTTCCAACTGGACTCCCTGCCAAGAGACCTGTCCTTATCTGACTCTGATTGGCCCTGAACTGACGGTATTAATCAAACCAACAATGGCAGCGAGTGTTACCCAATCAGAGGTAGAAAAGGAAAAGTATTCACAGAATGCGGTTTGGATGATTTGCATGGGATGCTGCAGTAAAGACAACTCGGAAATAAGGGACAAACCTATTTAGTTCTCAAATATGGGACGATTCCGTATTTTAAGGGACGGGTGGCAACCTCACTGGGCTTGCCGTTTTCTCTGCACACATGCACAACAAATAACTTGAACTCTGTGAAACTCAAAGGTAAAGTAGGTTATGCAAGAAGCAGGTTAACACTCGGCCTATCTACCCTATGTACACCCGTTAACCCGTTTAAAGTAATTGCAAAGTTTTGTATAGCCTAGGACTACACAGTATACAGGTACTAGTCATACAATTAGAATATCATCAAACAGTTGATTTATTTCAGTAATTCCATTCAAAAAGTGAAACTTGGATATTATATTCATTCATTACACACAGACTGATATATTTCAAATGTTTATTTCATTTAATTGTGATGATTAGAACTGACAACTAATGAAAATCCAAAATTCAGTATCTCCGAAAATTAGAATATTACTTAAGACCAATAAAAAAAAAGGATTTTTAGAAATGTTGGCCAACTGAAAAGTATGAACATGAAAAGTATGAGCATGTACAGCACTCAATACTTAGTTGGGGCTCCTTTTGCCTGAATTACTGCAGCAATGTGGCGTGGCATGGAGTCCATCAGTCTGTGGCACTGCTCAGGTGTTATGAGAGCCCAGGTTGCTCTGATAGTGGCCTTCAGCTCTTCTGCATTGTTGGGTCTGGCGTATCGCATCTTCCTCTTCACAATACCCCATAGATTTTCTACAGGGTTAAGGTCAGGCCAGTTTGCTGGCCAATTAAGAACAGGATACCATGGTCCTTAAACCAGGTTCTAGTAGCTTTGGCACTGTGTGCAGGTGCCAAGTCCTGTTGGAAAATGAAATCTGCATCTCCATAAAGTTGGTCAGCAGCAGGAAGCATGAAGTGCTCTAAAACTTCCTGGTAGACGGCTACGTTGACCTTGGACCTCAGAAAACACAGTGGACCAACACCAGCAGATGACATGGCACCCAAACCATCACTGACTGTGGAAACTTTACACTGGACTTCAAGCAACGTGGATTCTGTGCCTCTCCTCTCTTCCTCCAGACTCTGGGACCTTCATCTCCAAAGGAAATGCAATCCACTTTTTGTGAATCTCCCCACATTTTTGATGTATGGGGTGATGTTCCTCCGTGGATATTTCCTGTGCCCAATGTGGACTTGAAGCTTCTAGAGAAGAAGAAAGAATGGAGTGAAAGTAATGTGGTTAATATTGGATATTTGGTTCAAGATCATGTGAAGAGGAATTATTATAATTATATGCTATTATTTACCTCTCATGTTTAGTCCCTGGATCTTTTGCTCCAGGGACTAAACATGAGAGGAACATCTTACCTGACAAGATATATGAATTAGGACGGGGATGGAATTTAGAAGGGATTTTAGGGATGAGAGAGGAAACTAGGGGGTGCTGCAAAGCTCTCTTTAATTTTCTCAAATCTACTGGACTATAACACATAGTCTTTCGTTTGTTTGTTTGACTGTTTGTTGAGTTTTCTATTTATTTATTTACATTTCTGATACACTGAACCTGTAACCTGAAGTACTAAAACCTTGATATTACACACTCTGGTGCAGTGAGTGGCGGTATGTACCTGAACAAGCTGGTTGCGACCCGCATAAAACCCAGAGAAGAAGAAGATGAAGATGATCACATTCTGATTAAGAAACGAGTCATTTCACTCGGGCTGTGACGGTCAAGTATACTGATCCACCGTTTTACAGCCGCTGTTTAGGCCGCTAATAAAAGTTACTTCCAAGGACGGGGCACTTCCTCTCGGATCGGAGGCATTGCGGGGCGACCCAGCCTACCAGTCACAGTTCTTACGGTCCGCGTGTAGTTACAATTTTGAGGTAGTGCAACTCAGGCTACGGCGTCGGGTACGGGGCTACGCCGTCAATTTGGTGCTGAAGTATGAATTGCATTTTCTACCTTACACCCCTCCTGTTCAACGCACAGAAAGAAATCCCCTCTGCAACAGATTCTTCGCTGGGACTCAGTCAGGATAATACCAGGGAAATGGATGCTTTCTATCCGGTGCGTGAGTTGTCTGGTAGTCCAGATCCATTTTTAGAAATAACACTATCAGACTTCCATGCTATGAATGAATTGAATTTGCAAAACATCAGGGACCTAGATTCTGAAGATTGGTTTGAGCAGAGTGGAAGTGATGGTGATGTCCTGATGGAAACAGAGCCATCTGTTCCAGCTGTGAACTGCTCAGTCACAAACACCCAGCCGACTCATCCTCCCCTCCAAACCTCCTCCAGCTGTTTGCGTCGTTCTCACAGCGTTCCCTCACTGAGTCTAACAACCTCCGCAAAGAACAAGACCTTCACCCGATCAAAGAGCTTACCTGACATGCTGTTCAAACCCAGCTGTGAGGAGTTCACCCCTGATATCACTGTTGATGAAAACGATGAAACCTACAGGTTCCAGTGCTCCTGCCCAGGCCTGTACCAGTGCAGTGTGACAGGCCTGCTGTTCCACATGGAGGGAGAAGGGGACGTGGTTTACAGGATCGTCCCCTGGAACAGGAGGCTACTGGCCCGACACCACAAGCAGCCTGCAGGACCCCTGTTTGACATCAAATGTCTGCAGCAGTCTGTGTGTCGGCTTCATCTCCCACACTGTGAGATCCGCTCCACAGGTGGAGGTGAGTTCTTGTCAGTCGCTCATGTGAACGACGAGGGCATCGAGTTTATCGGCCCTCAGAAGATCACAGAAACTCACGTTGTTATAAACATCACAGGGTTTTCTGGTTTCGGTAATGTCAAGGATGAAGACTCGCCGGCTGACCCGGTCCGAGCGCTGGTTCTGCTGTTCTACAGGCCCCCGGCTGATCCCGACGCTGAATCCCTCCTCAACGTGTTGCTGCTACCGAGGAACGTGGTGCTCCGGGATGTGCTGCGCACCAGGAAGAAATTAGTTGGAGATGAGAGCTACATAGAGACGTCCCCACACTGTAAACTGCAGCCAAAGCAGGAATACACACTGTCCACTTGTCCTGCAGAGGACTCAGTTCTAGTTCAACCAACAGAAGCAGAGTTTGACTGCGACAACTACGACAACTACTTCCCATCATTCCAGGTGATTTTAGAAACAATGAGGAAACACGTGAAGCTGTTTCTGAGAGACACCAACAGCTCCCACAGTGTCTGGGAAAGACGAGTTTGTCTCACTGGAGTAAAAAGGTCCTGTGGGCCGAGCGCTCTGAATCTCTCTTCAGATAAGAGGCTGTTGGACATACGGAGCAGCTTCATCGAGGGGATATCAGGACCGGTTCTCACAAGTCTGCTGGACAAACTGTTTGAGAAAACGGTGATAGCTGAAGCTGAGAGGGAGTCAGCGGACGAGATGCAGAACAGAAGAGACAAAGCTCGTTTTGTTATCGACACAGTGAGGAAGAAAGGTGAAGCTGCTAGTTCAGAGATGATTGAGTTCCTCTGTGAGGCCGACCCCTTCCTCTGTGAACATCTCGGCTTGATCTGAAGACAAATCAACAGGTGATGCAGAACATGTTGACCTGGTGGCCAGAAACTGATCATCCTGCATCTGTCACTGTTTTGATATTTCAGTGTCAAAGTACATTTCTCTTGTCTAAGACTGTTGACTTTTCTGGTAAAAAGTCTGTTTTCTTTTATTTGATTAAGATATGGGAACCTTGTGGTCTACTGAACATACAGTATATAGACAAATGTTTTGGGTCGCCTGCCTTTTCAGTCACATGAAGGTTAATGACGTCCCATTCTTAATCTGTAGGATTTAATAAGGAGTTGGCTCAGCTTCAACTCTTCTGGGAAGGCTGTCTACAAGGTTTAGGAGTGTGTTCATGGAAACTTTTGACCATTCTTCTAGAAGCCCATTTGTGAGGTCAGGCACAAATGTTGGACAAGAAGGCCTGGCTCGCAGTCTCTGCTCTAATCCAACCCAAAGGTGGTCTATCGGGTTGGGGTCAGGACTCTTCGCAGGCCAGTCAAGTTCCTCCACACCAAACTCGCTCATCCATGTCTTTATGGACTTTACTTTGTGCACTGATGCGCAGTCATTTTGGAACAGGAGGGTGCCATCCTCAAACTGTTTCCACAAAGTTGGAAACAATCACATTATAAGAAATGTCTTGGTAAAGTGAAGCATCAACACTTCCTTTCTCTGGAACTAACCCGACCCCTGAAAAACAACCTCATACCATAACCCCCCCTCCATCAAACTTTACACTTGGCACAATGCAGTCAGGCAAGTACCATCCTCCTGGCAACCGCCAAACCCAGACACGTCCATTAGATTGCCAGACGGAGAACCGTCACTCCAGAGAACATGTCTCCTCTGCTCTAGAGTCCAGTGGCGACTGCATCCGACGCTTTGCATTGCACTTGTTGATGTAAGTCTTGGATGCAGCTGTTCGGCCACAGAAACCCATTCCATGAAGCTCTCTACGCACTGTAGAGATAATCCGAAGGCCACACGACGTTTGGAGGTCAGTAGCTATCGACTCTGGAGAAAGTTGGTGACTTCTGCGCACTGTGCGGCTCAGCATGTGCTGACCCTGCTCTGTGATTTTATGTGGCCTACCACTTCTTGGCTGAGTTTCTGTTGTTCCAATCGCTTCCACTTTGTTAAATAACAGTTGACTGTTATGTACTAGTGAGGAAATTTCACAAATGGACTTACTGCACAGGTGGCCCCTATCACGGTACCACGCTTGAATTCACTGAGCTCCTGAGAGCGACCCATTCTTCACAAATGTTTGCAGAAGCAGTCTGCATGCCTTGATTTTATGCACCCGTGGCCTTGGAAGTGATTGAAACACCTGAATTCAGTGATTTTGAGAGGTGTCCCAATACTTTTGGGAATAAAGTGTATCTGTATACTAGTTTAGGAATGTTTCAACAATAAGATTTGTGGTCATTTATTTCTTTTCATAAATCTTTTAATCACAACTTTGCCACCAGTATTAAATATATATAAAATATGATCATGTGCATGTAAAATCCACAAAAACATTTTTTTAAATAAATCAACTGTAGATTTAGACATTTTATCTTTATAAATGAAGGAATGATTTAAAATTCTTGAATGCAGCCTGTTTTACTTGTATTTTATACCTGATTGTTTGAATTTAGTCCACGTGTGTTGTTTGTTGTGTTTTTATTTTACTTACACTTTATGTTTTTATGCATTCTGTAAAGTCCCCAACAAGAACATTCAGTTGTCAGCTAACGTGGATCCAAATAAATCAATTAATTAATTTTAAATCAATTAATAATTAAATAAATATTAATAATAACAACGAGCTGAACTTTTAAAGTAAAGCAGGTAAAATATCTGTTTTCAGGTAGCCTGTTCATTTACTTTTTACTTATTGTCAATAACACTGACTCTGTAGTCGAGGCACTTTATTCCAGATTACTTCATATTCAGCTTGTTATTAAGTCAATAGGCTGATTAAAGGTGCTTAATTTCCCTCATGGGGATGAATAAACTCGTATCACCTTAGTTTCTCAAAACAATTAATGTTCCTTCATCAGACAGCAGATAGAGCCATTTGCTTGGTCTTTACTGTCATGAAACATGATGTGGGACTGCTGTTAAAAAACTACACTACAAATAAACACAATTAGAAGAGCCCTCACAAAAACAATACATATAACACTAACATCCATATTTTATTTAAAAAATCGTTGTATTGCTGTAAACTATGTTTGGATGTTATCGCACACATATAAATGTATTTTATTTTGTTGTTAAAATGAGGCAAAATATGTTTCTTCACTTTGTGTATTGTTGTTTTCCCACGAAACACGTTTTCAATACCAAATGTTTTCAATAAAAAAAACTTCAAAACTATCCTAATTATAAGTTGTTTGTCTGCTCTTTTGTTTTGTAAAACTCTTCAAGCTGAATTATTATTTTATTATTATTATTAGTAGTAGTAGTTTTAGTAGTAGGCCTATTTAGGGTTTTTATTACCTTTTCATATTATTCACTATTAATTTAATTTCACCATCTTTCCATATCTAATTGTTACATTTTAGAACCTGTTATTCTAAAAAAAAACCTTTAATAAAGAATGACTGATTAGGTATTATTTTATTTTGTAGTTACCACGAAGCCATTTCCTGTTTTCTGCCCGTTACTTTCCGGTTTCCTCCTATCTAACTCCCGGTAGCTTGTCGCGGACGGATCGGTCCCCGCGCAGCAGCATCCAGCCCTTCAGACCGCACGGAGAGCCGCGGACTGAGGCAGCAGATCCTCCGTCTCCCTGCTAGATTTTCAGCCTTTGCACTTTGTTTTCAGGGTCGCAGGTAGAAGAGTGTCTCAGCGGGGACCTCTGGACGCTTTCTGGACAACATTAATTAACTTCCATCTCCGGAAAACAAGTGGATTTTAACCCGCTGTGGAGCAGCGAGGAGGTTTGGAGGATGAACCCTCAGTGCGCCCGCTGTGGGAAGATCGTCTACCCGACGGAGAAAGTCAGCTGCCTGGACAAGGTGAGAGCAAACACGCAGAACCATCCAGGTGGTATTTACTCTGCACAAACCGGGTCTCAGGAACTCGCTAAACCGGCGCAGATCAGAGGTCAAGCTGCAGGTGGATCACGTGATGTGTGGACGCAGGTGGAGGTGCACCAAACACACCTGCACTGGGCTTTAAACGTCCCACAGTGGATTATAGAGTTATAGAGAAGAAAGGCGTTAAAGTTTCAGTTGAGAACTCTGGAAATGATGCAGATTGATTGATTGGCTGGTTAGTTGGTGTTGTATTTCTCTTTTTAAATATCCCTGAGATGTGTTGACAGTTGAACTGCACTGACCTTTAATTATGAATGATTTCTTCCAATAGTCTCTACTGTGCAGCACCAAAATAGATTGATTACAAAAAAACAGCACGTTGGCCTACTGATGACTTTCAGTCCTCTGATGATTGAACATGGACATATTTCATGATTAATTTAGTTAAATGTGTTGATGCATGGGAAGTTTATGTTTAATTTATTGGTTGGTAATGGTTTACTATAACTAACTAACTATAAATATAAATCTGTTCCATGATTAAAGACACATCATTTTGTAAGTAATCACAAACATCTTTGCCTTTTTATTCAAAAGTAAGTGTTGATTTTTGTGTTTGCACGGTAACACCTCTGTAATAGTCTGTTGCATAATGGTGATAAATTATTAATTTATCTTCTGCAGTCTCATGCGTTCAGTGTCTGTCCTATGAGGCATCAGATGACACAACAGCATGTAGGCTGCTGCACATATCAGCTCCAACCTCTTATAATAAAAAGACTCCAATTTCACAGAGCTGTTAGAAAAGACTGTTTGTCGATGGTGAAGGTGAACAAAACATGTCAACATCCAACTTCATTGTTCAATATCATTGAAATCAGTAGGATCCAGTTTAAAAAAACAAAAACAAAGATCACATTTATCTTCTGTCCTGTTTGGTTAAAGCTGACATGAATTGTTTAAAGAGAGAAAAGGGGTTTTAAAAGAGCCGAAACTGTGTGAGAGGCAGTGATTTATAGAGGACGAGGCTGGCAAAGAAACAAAGAAGTAAACAGAGAGAAAGTGAGAAAGAGAGTGTGAGGGCGAGAGAAAGTCCCTGCTGTCCTGTACAGAAGCCCTTTTAATCGGCCCTTAGGTGCCACTTCTTTTCCATTTTCACTACAAAGACATGAAAACCAAATTTCAAGTGAGAATAAAAGTTAACAAGAGAGAAGTGTTATTTTTCCAGATTTTCCAGTATTGTCTTTTATATTTTTTACTCCAAATTCCTGCAGAGTCTGCTGTTAAAATGAGACTTTGTGCCAATTACAGGCCATTGATTATATCCACATTGATTATAGTCACTTTAAGGTTTAAATATCGTGGAAAGGACATTGTTTTTGCATATTTTCTGCATATCCCATGTATACTTTACATCAGAGGTTATTAAACCTTTTTCTCGTCAAGGACCCCTAAACTGACAATTAGACCAGGCACCCCTAAATTGATAAGATTTTGTCCCAGGTACCCACATCTGATTGGATTATTGTTTTTAGATGATTTATTTACCAAAATAGTTGTACCATATTTCATTGTGTTGCTAATGGATGGAATTATAGTAAAAATAAATGATTACACGTTTTGGCGAGAACCACTGCTGCACATCGCAGAGCGACAGTGCCAAAAATAAAAGTAAACTGGATGTTCACTGCGATGGAAAGCAATGGCTGAAACAGACATGCAAACTTTATATGGATGCATTTAAATTGCAAATGTGTACTGCACATGATTTGTAGGTGAGGTGCATAACTTGTGAACACGCTGGGATAGTCTTTAAGGGAAAAACATTTACTAAACTCTGACGAAAAGTTCGACTGGCACTGGGTTTTTAAGGCCAATATTGATATTTAAACATTAAAAAAAGTATAATAATGATGCATCAGCAGGGATTTGTTTGTTTAACATCAACACCTGACATGAACCTTTTTTTTGATGAGGATACCTTAAATTGTTAGGTTATTAATAATAAAGACTTCTGATAAAGATGCTGTATGAACTTAGTAGGATTGATAGTAGATAAATAAACCTGTCGTTCCTGTCTGGTGGACAGTTTATGAAATGACCACATGGGCGGCCAATAAACTTACTATTGGTAGATATACAGTGTTTGCTAATACTAATATGTCTGTGATGACCTATTTTTTTATTAGGTAGGTAGATTTTATTGTCACAATCCAACAAGTTGTGGAATGAACTTTTAAACTATTAAACCTCTATTAAGTCCCATTGAGATTTAACAATCTCTGGCTAAGATAGTAACTGTACATTAAAAACACAAAGACAAACATACAATATGGGGTCGACCTGAATTATGTGCAGTTGTGTGTAAAACTTCTTGGTACAAGTTGTGAATTGGACACCCCTACACACTAGGGCTTTGCCATTGTGTAATTTCAATAATATTTAGATTAATTAATCAGCCCCAATACAAACTGTTTCTAAATGAGACTCCCTCCTCCAACTTATCCTCACTCTCTTGCTCTTTCGCTGCATTTAAGCACAGGATTAATACAGAAGGCATATGAGCATATTAACAACTCAAACACATAACTTAGCGCTGATTCACTCAAAGGATTTGAATAATCGTAATGCAGGACAGATGGACGGCGATCTGAACTGGAGACGGACTTAATTCAGTTTTGCTCTGCGGTCTGTCACATTTTGATCCGAACAAATGTCAGTTTTCGTCCAGCCTCCGTCTGGATTTATATTTAGTTCATGGAAGTTGCTTCCACTTGCTTGTGTAAACACTAGCTGTCAAACAGAAAATCACAGGAAGACGGTCCCGCCCATGCTCTTTGATTGACGGGCTGGTTAGTGAGAAGTGCAGCGCTGAGGCATCCCTGAGCAGCGGAGGCGGACACAAAACAAAAAGTGGAGCTTCGAGGAAACAGCAGTTTGACGGAAAAATCACTTACTTGGTGTTTCCGAAGCTTTCAGCCTCATCTCGTGGCCTTTCTCAGCACATGGAGTTGGTCTGTTGTCATGGAGACGGTTTAGTTGTCATCATGTGTAAGTGACAGTCAGGTGATAACCGGTTGTCGAAGAAATCAAAGCATCCAAGTGGGGTCCCTCAAACAGGACCCACCTGAGAAGAAGACTGGAGCTGAAACCTCCGGGTCTGAAAAGTGAAGCCAACGCTGAAGTTGCTGAAACCAGCAGGGGGCGACGCCGCTTGTTGCAAAAAGAAGTTTGATTGTATATAGGTTTATGAGAAAATGAAGCTACTTCTCAGCGGATTTATTCCCTCAGTAAACACTTTCCTGATGAGTTTATGGCCTCAGTCGCTAGTTTCAAGTCTTCTTCAACACAGCATGATGTTCATTTAATAAATTATTTAGAGGAACATAGACCAGGAAGCAGGGGAGGCTTTAAGGTGGGGCTACAAGCTGATTTACAAGTTGCTGTTAATCAGGATAAGAGCGAGTTGTATCACTGCACTGTGTACATTTAACTAGCTGTGAACTTGTTTTTGGGTGCTGTCTGTGTTTTCGTCTAAAAGCTTTTGACAGCGTGTTTTAGTTAATTGTAACATTTTGGTCGTATTAAAATGTCTTATTCAGCGTTCGGTTGCACTGAAATACACTCTAAGGAGTCGGCTGTTAATTTTTTCCAGTATTTTGTTGTAAGTCTATTTTCAATAACTAAAGTTAGCATCCAAGTTCACATTGCTAACCAAGCGAACTAGCTCCACCCTCTCGTCCGAATATGGTCACTTCCGGTTCCAAAAAACCAAGATGGTGACGGAGAAAATGCCAAACTCAAGCCTTCAGAACGGTAGTCCACAAATCAACGGGTGACGTCACAATGTCTGCGTCCACTTCTTTTATACTGTCTATGCGTGTAAGGCTGCAGAAGATTTTAGTATTCGAAGCTTCGATAGATTATTTCAACGATTCATCGATGCCGCCCCCCCACCCCGGTAACAGAATCAGCTGTGCACGTTTATAGGTGATAGATATTTATTAGTCCTTTCGGAAATTCATAGTGTGTCATAAAGCAAACATCAGACCAACAACTAGACAGCTGCTTTACAAACACAAACATCACCCAACGGGAAATGAGAGATCCTGCACAGGAAACAGCTGTTGTTTGTTATTATAAAGATGGCGATTATAAAGACAAAGAATCTGGGTGAAAGGATGGATCAGCACACGCAGGTAGCAGGGATTGTCTGAGCTACAGAGAGCTGGAGGGGAGTTAAAAGGTGCAGCTCCCCGACACCCAGTTAACTCCTGACTGTGAGGCTACAACTCACGGCCCAAAAAGGAGAACAACAAACACTCGTGTGCACATTTTCAG